TTTGGTATGCCCGTCTCGCTTGCACGCGTGCTCTTCTGCTGAAAAACTTGTTGTGGCTGCAAACGAAACGAAATGAAACGAAACAAAACGACGCGTTGCGAAGCGGGGCCTTTCCGTTCGCGACCGCTCGAGAGTGTTCTCCCCTCTCACTCCCCCTCTCCCCTTATCTCACTCTTCGTAAACTCTGGAGATTAAAGAGCACATTGTCTGTGTGTATGTGTGTGTGTGTGGGCAAGCGAGCGCGTTGCGCAAGGCCTTCCGTTTAGCGGTGCGGGTGCGAGCGAGATAGCAGCTGGCCCAGTGTTATATTTTGTGTTTTTTTCGCTCGACCCCCCGAAAGACGCCCCCTCCTCCCATCGCCACGCCCCTCCGCCTTTAACCGGCATTCGTACTAACTGTACATATTTACCTGCTAAAATTGTATATTTATCCATAGATACGCTCAAATGCTGGTCTATGATATTTATGTAAGTAAATACATGGGATTTACTGCACATCTGTTTGTTTACATATACATATGTATGTATTGTTATTATATGAAGCTCCTTCGCCAGTATTAAAAATTAAAACAGTTGCTGATTTTTTAAAAGCATTTAACAAGAACAGTAACATACGTGTATAACAAATTATATTTAAATTTGCGATCATGAGTAGTTTCCCGAACTGATAGTTCATTGTGAAAGCTCTATAAATAGATGCATTTATTAACATTAAAATAACTAGTTGTATGATAAAAATGCTCACATACAAAAAACCTTTCTAAATGCAAATTTCGAGTAAATGAAATTCATCTTTTTTTTCGTCGTTGGGTATTTATGTATGTATGTAGATAAGAACATACATTCGTATGTATGCATGCATGAATAATACATTACAATGAGTTAAATTCCCGGAAAAAGGGAATTTCCGAGCTGAGTGTACAATAAATGTTCGGTCAATACACCGTTTTTTCGGCTGATTGATAACTTTGCTCGGGAAAAGTTCGGGAAAAATTGTCTGTCCTCTCCTCTCTTTCGGTGCCACCCCTACGACCTATCTCATTCTCCTTTCCGTCGTATTTTTGGTGTAAATTTAACTCGTTTCTCGCTTTGCTTCATTGCCGCCGATTTTAGTTTGGTTTTGTGTTCTTATTTGCTTGCGATTTCATTTTCTTTGCCTTCTTCCTTTTCTTCCTCCCCATCTGCCATCCGCCTCCTCCGCGCGTTCATCCCCTTTTCTCATTGCCATGTTCCATTTGTTTGTTTTTGCGTTTGTCTTGAATTTGATTTTAGCTTCATCCTCTACCTCTTACATTTATTTTTTTCGCTTTTCGCCTAACCAACAAAAACAACGCACTGGCAACAAGAACAACAACCCGTTATGACTATGACTTTCAGGTGTGCTTCTGCCCCCTCGCTTTCCGCGCTCCTCCCGCCCATCTCCTCTGCCTATCGCTTTCTCTGCCCTCCCCACCCCTCACCGCTTCTGTGCTCCTCGTCTCCTGCTTTTTGGCTCGCTCTTCGTTTGACGGCGACAGCGACGTCGACGTTTTTGTGCTGCGCCTGGCGTTCCTCGTTCGTCGCTCGATTTGTTGTTGTTATTGTGGCATTTTGTTTTTGTTTTATTATTGTTATCAATATTATAGCATTTCTGAAGTGAAGCTAAATGCCCTTCCAGCCTTCCATTCGGCTGGCATATTGGTTAGCTAGATCTTTTTGCGATATCTTCAAGAATATCTTCTATATGTATGCATTTTAGGCTTAAAAGATATTTTGAAAACAATTTTACCAATTAGTATTAAGATACCCTGGGTAATATTGTGAACAATAATATTGTGATTGTAAAGTATTATGCAATGCATGAAACTGTACATTAATTAGTAATACATTTTATTGAATTAGTAAGCCGAAAAATTTCGGGCTATGTATGAAAAGGCATCCATGAGTACTCAGAAGTCGACATTCCCTGAGCGACCTTGACGTGTAGGGCACTCAAAGACCTGGCTGGCCGACACCGCAATGCTTCCCCCTCCGTCAAGCGAAGTCTACGAGTCTGAAAGCCCAAGAGACTCCGAGATCCATGAGCCGAGTTGTCTGTCGTGGGTTTTTTGTCGTCATCGTTGTCATTGCATTGCTTAGATATCTGCAGCGCAAAATTTGCAAATTTTAGGAATCATAGTCAGCTATTATTATTATTATTATCATTGCTGTTGTGCTTGTATCGAATGCTTTTATTTTGCAATTTTTCCCATTCAGAGACCATAACAACAAAGCAATGAAAATACACAACAAAAACACTTCCGCATGCTACGACTGTGTTCGTGTGTGTGTATGTGCTTGTGGGAGTGAGTTGATAACATAAACATACACACGTACACAACCGAGAAGACAGGTGTCGATTGATAAGAGAGCTTCGGAGATGATTCAGTTGCAATTCGATCTGAGGCATTGTATGTACTAAAGCTGAAATAGCTACAGATGTACAAATATACATTGTATCTATGTACTTATGTATGTATATGTACAAACACACTAAGCGAAATAGAGATACATATCAAATCAAATATGAAATAAATATGTACATATGTATATGTACATATGTATGTATGTATATGTTAAAATATCACAGAGTACAATTACAGAATTAACAAAAGGTACGGTGATTAATGAAATCTCCGGAGATTTTCTAGATTTCTTGGGATTTTTGCAAGCCAGTCGAAGTGGAAATCTCTGGAGATTTTGGTTGACACCCCGTTATATGTATGTACATGCATAGCTACATACATAAATAAATAAATGTATAAATAAACCCCTTTTGGTTGTGTGCGTGTGGGTGGGAGATTAGCGAAATCGGCAGAGGTAAATTCCACAATAAAGCTGCCGGCAGCGAAGTCGACGCAGCTTTTTTTCTTCATCACTTTTTACATACCGATTTGGTTTCGATTTTAGCTTTATTTTCTGTTTTGTTCGCTTTGCGGTTGGTCTTTTTTGGGCTTTTCTTTGCCTCCTTCCCGCATTTCTCTTCTCTGTCACTCATCTTCCCTTCTATTTTTGGCAATTCACGTTGGTAAATTAGAAGGAGAAAAGGGAGACGAAAAAAGGGTGTGCTTATTAGAAACGAAAGAAGGGAAAAAACAAAAAAAAAAACAATAAAACAAACTTGGCAAAGTCAAACAAAAATGGGATAAGGTACAGTTAGTCAGCGCTTTCATAGTTTCTCTCGATCAGGGTTGCCACCGTCTGACATGGCAACGCTCTTTTCCCTTCTCATATTTCGCAATTAACATTGCGATTACTGTTGCAATCCGCTTTGCTTAAATTCCACTTACACATATGTACATATAAATATAGTACATTTGTATGACGTTTCACATACAAAAATTCATTATGTATGTATGTATATACATATGTAGATATGTATTTATATTTGTGCATTGTTGTTGGATGGCATGATTCATAAGTTATGGAATTTTACATGTCCACAATTTCATATAATAAGAAAGAAAGATTAGCTGTCACCAGTTGCTCACATTTTCCTTTAATTTTCGCCTATTCTTGTTTGTTTCATGTGTGAATAATGCCCACACTTCATTGAATTCAACCTAATTTAGGGACACAAAAATAAATAACCAAAAAACAAAATATGTAGTTTAAAGATAATAAGATTGAAGAAAACATACATATACAGATTTGTACATATGTACATGCATACATTCACTTATGTAAATTCATCATATAAAGACCAACAATTTTCTATCAGAGATAAAATAATTGAATTTCTATATATGTATATGTACATATGTATGTACATATGTGTGACTAGCTTGAGATATGATACCATATGCATTAAATAAAAACCTTATTTAACATTGAATTCGAGCACTTGGAATCCCAGCCCAAATCTAATAATTGCGATCGTTATACAACTCAGCAGGATATTCCCGATTGATCAACCCTGTTGTCCTTTCCCATTATCATTACGCATCCTTGACATATGCGGCTACCTGATTACAATGCCAGATTTATTGAGTCTTTACCCAAAGCTTGAAAAATCCCTTTTTACCTGAAACAGATCCTAAAACTTATTTTCCCATAGCACGTATGTATTTCCCAAACAATAAATTGCACATTAATTTTGCAGATATGTATGCACATACATATGTATCTACAATGTAGGTATTTAGAAGAGTAATTATATGGAAAATATAGAAATTCAAACAAAGTACATATGTATATATGTACATACGTACATCTGTGTAGTGTGAAAATGTATCTAGTGATTTAAAATTGAGATAAAACAATCTGCTAACTTATAAATGGATTTCGAACATTTGGTTAAGAACCAGTTGTACTTTTTGTTTCATTTCCTCCTCTTTTTCGCCCACTTTTTCAAATCATCGAGTGACTTACATACATACATGCACACATACATACATATTTATATAGAAATCCAAGCATAAAAAGAAAATTGGTTTTTCATATGAACAATATGTACGTTTGTACTCAGCATTGACTTTTGCGGTTCCGCTTTGCGCTGCTTCGCTTTAATTGTATGTGTGGATTATATGTACGTATATATGTATGTACATAACTACATACATATGCATACCGTTTGTATATTTACTGTTTCTTCTTTGTAGCACATCAATAAATATGAAATATCGGACAGATACATACAGGGTGCGTTATGAAAGTAATGCGCATAGTTTCATTGTCACGTAACTACCTGTCGTAGCACGCTCGGACCTGTCTGAAAATTTGGGGCGGAGTCTCTCCTTTCCAACGCGCTCGGTCTCAGTTCGCTCCGAGCAATAGAAGTGGTAGGACACGTGTCGTAGAGCGAAGTCATTTTTTCTGTTGTGTCACGGAGCGATGTTGTGCGATGGAGCGTTCGCTGGAACAGCGGTACGCCATAAAGTTTTGTGTGCGACTTGGCAAAAATGCATCGGAAACTTATCAAATGCTTCGAGAGGCCTTTAAGGAGGAGTGCATTTCGAGATCTCAGTGTGGAAGGTGGCACAAGGCCTTCAAGGAGGGTCGAGATGTAGCCATAGGTGTGTGAGTGTGGGGATAGAGACATTTATAATTTATTTATATGCACTGCAACAGCGAAGAAAGGCAAAAAACAAAATTGCAAATAAAAGTCGAAGGTGATACGGGTGCGAAAGAGAAGGAAAGAAGATGTGAGGGTGGTGGAATGAGAGAGTGGGAAAGATGAAGAAATAGCAGCTAATTTTTTCCTTTGTATTATTATTTTTTCCCCATTTATTTTCCTCCTATCAAGAGATTCGGCAGCAAGGGTACATTAGCTATAACTAGCAGATTTAAAAAAGCTTAGGATTTCAAATGAATAGATTTTCAAGTATTCCAACCAAAACGTTATTTGATGTTAACAAATTATAGATCGAACATATTTCGTTGTTTTGCAGAGTATTTGAAATTCATAAGCCTTGAGTGATTTTTAAACTTGGTGCCGTGCCAAAAGAAAAACTTAACAAACAAGCGTAGTGAAAAATACTGCCTAAGAGTCGTTGTTTTTATACTCTATAAGTATGTACATATGTATATATGTACATATGTAAGTATTTAGTTCTAGACTACGGTATTATCATTGATACCTGACAAAAATGTGCACATAAAAGTAGAGCATGCTCAATGTCGAAAGTAATTTAAAATATTTAGACACTTTTATTGGTACCTCCTGTGCGTTTTTCGAAGGGATCTAAAGGATCGACAACCTTTGCCCAGTTTCCATTCTCCCCGATTCGCAAAAGTGAGGGTATACCAAAAAATACAGAGTCCATTGAACTGCAGAGGGGACTTGCAGTGGGTGGGGGCGGGGAAGGGGCGTTGGTTTGGTTGAGTTCAAAAGGGGGTCTGCAATGGGCCAAAGGGTTGGATGTGGGGGGTATATACCCAGATATATGCAGATTTTTGGCTTCCACTTGTTGTGTGAGTCTTCCGCCCCCTCGTTCTCCACAATCGATTCCATTGGAAAATGTTGGGTGCCTAGGAACAAAGCGAAATATACATACATATGTATGTATAGCTTATATGTATTTACACAAGCAAAATTGAAAAAAAAAAATTTTTAAAAGAGGAAGGAACGAACGAAATGAAGTCATAAAAGCCGAGGGAAAAGGAAATAAATAAAAATACCACCAAAAAAGCGAATAACAGAGAATTAATATTAAGCAAACAGACAACAACACAGAAAAGAACACCGAAAAAAGCGGAGATACAAATCTGTGTATCCGTCAGATACATTTCGCCGATGTTGTTGTATGTGTGTGTATTTAATCTGCAATGATCTCCAGCTCACAGACTTCTTGATGGGAAAAAAGGTCAAAGCATCTCTCTCCCTCTCTCGAATAAAAAAAAACATAAATAAGCACACACACATACAGATACAAAAAGAGCAAAAGAGACAGGGCAACAGCAACAACAACTGTTAAGTTAAAGTCGCAGCTGGTTATGTTAAAAGAGAGATAGCAATATCAGGTGACCAGTGAGTGGGAGGGAGAGCGGCGATGATAGAGGTGGTAAACAGTTACAATCGCATAAACCAGATACACACACAAAAGAGTCTTACTTTATATAAACGCCCGCAAGACATACGGACACTCCATACATATTCATGCATTTTATACACACTTGAATCAAATAAGTTTTCATGGCTCCACATTAAAATTCTCCTATTGGAATTTTGAATTGTAAATTGTTGATTTTACTGGGGTAAAAGCGGCTGACCCTCTTATTTCACAAGATAATTCAATTTTTAATTACCTATTAACTATTACTTATTATTAAAATAAAAAATTAAGCTTGTTGGTAGTAATTGTGTTTATACAAAAATCTCATCAGCTAAATGACATGGGACATTTTTCGCTGTGCATGTGTTGGGTGTCTTTGCGTGTGTGTTTGTACATGGCCAATATACAATTTTGTGCCATCGGCCACCAAAAACTGAGGGCCGGCCACAACAACAGCAACAAAAGGCAAGAAAACACAACAACCACAACAAAAGCTCCAACTACAACACGATTGCAGTAGCGAAGGTCGTCGCCGTCATTTTATATTGCTGTCTCAGCCGCTGCCGCAGTCGACGTCGCAGCCGGCGTCGCTGTCGACGACGAGCATCGCAGAATTCCACATAGAAAATTGAGAAAACTGCATTAAATTTTCGTCTGCTCCCCACCCCAGCAATTTCTACCATGCAACAGCCCGTTTCTTTCTCCCTCCCACTTTGCCGCCTACTTTTCCGTTTTTCCACCCCATCCGCTCCTCTCCCTCTAGCACCCCCCACCCAACCTCCCACCAACCTGTGCTCCTTTTTCGCCCGCTTCTTGTTTTGGCTATGATTTTGTTGCTTTTCCATTCACTACGGCCAAAGTTTCATACATATTCGAGACAACAATTGCGGTCAACTTGGTGGTAACGGTATAATAGAAAGTTTTTAAAAACATTTTACGTACAGTGCACACACATTAAGGTAAACTGAAGAAATCTCGGAATGTTGACTGTTGCGATCAGAATCATTAACTTTATAATAAAAATTATGTTGTACATATTGCAAACTATCATTTTGCCCCCAGCTGTACATGTGTGTATATGAATGTATCTGAAGCTAAGTGTTATGGCTGTACATATGTATGTATGTACGTAGATAATAATTCCAGAGTATAAGATATACAATTCACATTTCATATGTATGTTTGTACGTATGTATGTACATATATTACGATGATAAAGTGGAGAATATAAAGCATCACTGGATGGAAAAAATGAATAAAGAAATCTGTTTCAATCTGATCTACTATATATGTATGTACATATGTATTTATATACAAGAGAATATTGTATATACTTGTATATACTTGTATATACAGTATGTACACTCCATTCATTTTTGCCACCCTTCCAAAAAATCAATCTTGCAAGAGAAAAAGAAGACGCTAGAGTAAACAAAAATGGCTGGCGAATTAAAAACGCATTTGCCCACCAAGCGAAACAAAAAAAAATAATAATAAATCATCAAACGAGAAAATGAGTAGGAGGAAAAGAAAAACACAAATAATAGCTACCAATAGAATGGAGAGAAGAAAATTAATGAAATTTGTTGTGAGATAAAGAAATTGTGGCCAAACAAAACACAAAAATAGATTAAAAGTTTAAATACAAGTAATACAAATAATAACTAAAGCAAAATAAACATTAAAAATGAAAAGTAATAATTAGGAGAAAGAAAGATCAAAAAAGAAGCAACAGAATATGATCAGAGTATGAAGAAAATACTAAATTGATTTAAAAAAAAAATTTGAGACTAAGCGAAAGCCGAAAGCTACAGAAGAAAACGAAAAACTACCCCCTATTGTGTAAGAACTTCTCTTTCTTTGTCTAATTCCCTTATGGGCATCATTTTCTGTGCACTTTCTTTTCTCCCTATTCTCCGGCTCTCTTCTACATGCCTTGTCTCTTCTGCTTCCCCTAGCAAAGTCCTCCCCGAGGAACAAAGCAACAACATCCCCTGGAAATCCCGCCCACGCCCACTTTTCCCCGTCCTTTGCGCTATCACTCTGCACACACACCCACACACACATACACACGCACACGGGCAGCCATAAATACGTGTGAATGTATTGGTTTGTTCCGTGGCATCGTTTCTCCACCTCCTCTTCTTCTTCTCCTCCCCCTTAAATTCTCCTCCTCCTTCCCACCGCCTCTTTATTGCTGTATCCGTATGTTCACGAAACGGGGCCTCGACAAGAGACTATTCAAGTTGTGTGTTGCACGCTCACTGAATATATATGTATGTACATATGTATGTATGTATGTATGTACATACAAAACTCTGTACGTATGTACACGTATCCGACATACGGATTTATTCAAATTTTATTTGATTACTATTTTACTTCATAATTCCTTTGCGTTGCACTTTCTTTGCTTAATCCGAATTCACGTACATTTGCAGCAAAATACATAATCCCATATATGAATATAACATGTTTTAAAGGAATAATATGTAAAGTTTTCAAACAGAACCATCAAAAATATGTATAATTATATGTATATGTATATATGTATTATATGTATAATAATATGTATAATTATAATTATGAGTACTGACTTACTGAGTTCATGTATACCAGGATTATTATAAAAAGTAAACTACCTAAAACAGTTTTCTTTGTCAATTGAGTTTACTCATTATAACTCAAAATTAACTACCAATTTCAAATTTTCCGCCATTTCAGATGGAAGCCGGTACTTTTAAAAATGGCGCCAAACTAAAACCGATATAGGCGGTTCTCACTTCCCTGCTTTTTCCTTGCGCTATTGTAAAGTAACTGAACATGCAGTTTTAAGCAAAATATAAATAAACATACAAAATACGCAATGCCTAAACTTGCATTGTCATTAAAGACCAAAAACCAAACATATACAAATTAAAATCATTTTCGGTTAGGCCGAATTGAAACAGTGAGAACAGTAGTATATTGGGTTGTTCTATATTGTGATGTTCTGTTATCGAAAGTCTCTTGTGGCGCCACTTTTCGGTAATCGTCGCTTTTTTGTTAATAACAAAAGCGTAAACAGCATGTGCGAATCGGTTTTTCCGGCGGATCAGCGCAATGTGGAGGTGAAGGCACGGATTCCGGGTGGATCTGAGGGTTTTGAGAAGCGCCTAGTCCTGGCCAGAAACCTGAGCGGCAGTCAGGATGCGCAGTTAATCGAGCAGCGGGACGTGTTCTTTGAATCTCCGCTGGGTGGGCGACTAAAGTTGCGCTACTTGCAGGCGCCAGCGCGCTCCCAGTTGGTCTACTACGATCGTCCGGATGTGGCCGGTCCCAAGCTTTCCAAGTTCAACAAGACGGAGGTGGACGAGCCGGAGGTGCTGGAGAAGATCCTGCGCCAGTCGAACGGCGTCCTTGGTGTCCTGGCAAAGCGGCGGCACTTATTTCTTTGCGGACAGACGCGCATTCACCTGGACGAGGTTAGGGATCTGGGACACTTCATGGAACTGGAGGTGTGCCTGTCAGAGAAACAAACCCTCGAGGAGGGTCAAGCCATCGCCGAGAAACTGTCCAGAGAACTGGGTATTCAGGAGGAGGACCTCATGACCGGGTCGTACTTCGACGCCCTCAGAAAGCTCAATCATTAAGCGTGAAATGTTTTTGTATATGAACTTTAGGTTAACTACTTTCCCAAAAATGGGACTCTACCTTGTAACATAGAATCATCCACATTTGTTATCCATACAACATTCTGTGAGGCAAACATAAAGTATATATGAACTTTCAATAAAAAATGTATAGCCACTTTATAGCAATGAATAAAGCGTTCAGTGTATAATAGGTATCTTTAATTTCGTGAGTTGTTGCAAAAACACAAAGTCAAACTCAAGTCTGGCAATGGATATTTACAAAATCGCTTTCCGTTGGCTACGCTAGTTGGTGTGAACAGAACTTAGAGCCGAGAGTTTTAAATGCAAAATGGTTAGATGGACGAACACATGGATGAAGCGCGGCGGCCAGGAGCTTGTTAACTGTTAAACTAAACATAGGCTTATGATCTAGGACTTGAGGATTACAATGGGCGACGAATTGAGCCGGTGGCCTAAGGGTCTAGTTAATTATAAACGAAGGCAGCTTCCAGCTACCTTGTTTCTTTCTTTCATTTTGTTTTGCTTGCTTATCCAATGGAGCGGCAAAATTCGTAAAATAATTTTGGCTTGGTAAAAGTCATGGTTGTGTGTGTATATATGGCGCTTAAAGCTAGGAGCGAGGGAAGCGGGTAACTGTCATCTGGGTCTGCATCCTCTAACAGTAGGATCCAATCAGGCTGATGGACAGCGTTTCGGAGATGGGATCCGGCGCAGAGATCGGTTTCCAATACAACCAATTGTAACTGACTGCAAAAGCGTAGGGAATTAGTAAGAAATCGATGGGCTTTTTAGGGGAAAAACCACATTGAAAGGTTCGTTGAAATTGGCAATGCTTTGCAAAAAAACACAAAAAAACATGTGCAATTATCACAAAATGACTTATAATAACCCATTTTATTTACGGTTGGAATATCGCTGGACAAGAGCTTATTTTAATTATACAAAAAATGGGGTATATCTATTTTTAAATACCTATTTTTTTTAAAGTGAACCTTCTGATGTGGAGAACGCCCCGAAAGAAAAGCACTCTAACGATACTCACGCACAAAGGACTGGGTTAATCGCAGGGACAAGGTGCGACAGCGGTGCCGGCACTCACTGGTGGGTCGCAGGATGATGAACCGCGTGCCCACCGCTTGGTGGACATAGACATTGGAGCATTCCGTCTCCGGCAAGGTGTAGGCCGGCGCCTGGGCAGTATCAATGGCTACATAACGCTCCAGGGCCACGCCCATGCTGGGCAATCGCGTTGGCCGTGCGAAAATGGGACGCAACAGGCGCGCGGGCAGCATGCGATTGCAGCGCCAAAGATTGTGCGCCTGCTGGGTCCAGCTGCTGTTGAACTGGCCAAAGAGATCCTCGAGATTGTGCACGTCCTGGTTGGTCGAGAGCACCCGATATGCGTCGCGCTGGAAGATCTGATGATTGCTAGCGTAGATGTTGTAGAAGTGGCTCAAGTCAATGGCCTCCTGCTGGTTGCTGCGAAAGGCGATGGGTGATCCTTGCGGCTGATGGCACTTGTGGTTCTTATGGTACTCCAGCGGATGAACATCTGCGCACTCCTCGCCCTCCAGCCAGACGGTCTCCACATCGGCGCACGGTCCACAGCTCAGATCCTCCAGCTGAAAGAACGGATTACCCATCAGGCAGGACTCGTCGTAGAGCTCTGTGAGCTGTGGGAATCGTTGGATCAGCGGCATTGTCATCCGCCGCCACATGCGCATCCCGGGATAGACCATGGCTTGGACGACGCGCTCCTGGTGGCCACCGTTGGAGCTGGTTACCTCGTAACGGTAGGCGGCCACGCAGAGCGACACCAGTGTCAGGTAGAACAGCCAGCAGAGTATTTGTCGCCGCCGATCCAGCAGATGATGCAGTACCTCCAGCTTGAGGTAAGCCATCAGGGGAGCGGGTGGCGTGACGCCAGTTTGCCAATTGCGTTGCCGGAAATACTGAAAAAGCACATAATTGTCGAAGCTTAGGGATCGCACCCCGTACCGCTGATCCGCCAGCCGGCGCAGCTGACGCACTGCACCCGAATATCGCTGCAGCACTTGCTGGCGACTCAGCTGCACAAAGTTCAGATCATAGTCCTCTGGATCCTCCATGGCGCTCCTTGGGTCACATAAACAAATGGGGTGCTACTCAATTTCCACGGTGTGTGTTCGTTGTCTTATCTTTTGAGGGAAGTTCCTTTTGCCGGAAATCACTCAAAGTTCATTATTAGCACACAGCATTCTGTTTTTTGTTTCCTTTTAATTGTATTTGTTTTCTTTTTGTGATATGATATCGATGTTAGAAGGCCTTTTTGTTAACAATAGCATTGTTATCGATAAACTAGGGATGGAGCGTTACAAACCCTATACAGTAAGCATTTAATACGAAGACCAAAGCAAGAGTTTTCAGAGCTTTAAAAAAATTACTGACTTAAAAATGGTAGATATAGCTAATAGTTCAGAGTTAAATCTCTTGGGGGTTAAGTAGAATAATAATGAAACATATTTAATATCCTCAAACAAAGGAATACTGCAAATATCTATCGACGAACGCCAGCCCTGATCGTTTTTGGCTTGTGTTATTGTTTTTCGTTTGATATGATAACAGTTTGCAATATCAGAGAAGATGGGGAACTACGAGAAACTGGAGGGCAGTTCCTTGGGGAAGATTACGGATGAGCTGCCCAGCCAAGGACACCGGAATTGGAAGAACTTGAGAACTTTGGTCTGCTGGAGTGCTTTGTTATCGTCTTTGGTGTGCCTCTTCCTCGGATTCGCCAGCATGGGATTGCTGGGGCTCCAAACTGAGGAACTCCAACAGGTGGAGCAGCGATTGGTGTGCTACTACGCCAGCGATGACACTCACAACCTGAGCCTTTTGGACGTTCCCGGCGATCTGTGCACCCACATCAACATCGGGCCCGCCACTTTGGATAATGCCACCATAGTCCTTTCCGATGCCCTAAGAGAAGTGCTACAGAACGATAGCCGAACCTTTCGTGCTGCCCATCCGCAGGTTCATCTGCTTCTCTGGATCGGAGGAGCCGACAGCGGGCGGCAATTTGCCCTTATGGTGGCGAACCACGCCATGCGAAAAGTGTTCCTGCGCTCCCTCCGGGAAATATTGCGCACCTATCCCAGTTTGGGTGGCATCGATCTGGACTGGGAGTTTCCGAGTGCCTACGACCGTGAGCGAATGCATCTCTCGCAGCTGCTTTACGAGATTAGAACGGAGTGGCGACGCGAAAAGCGTCCCAATGATATTCTCTCGCTGGCGGTGGCTGCTCCAGAGGGAATTGCCTTCTATGCCTACGATATTCGAGAGCTAAATCTGTACGCAGACTATGTAAATCTGATGTCCTATGATTTCCACTTTTTCCGCAAGGACACACCATTTACCGGCTTAAATGCTCCACTTTATGCCCGCTCGCAGGAACGTTCGCTGATGGCCACGTTCAACATCAATTATACTGTTCAGTGGTGGCTGAAGAGCGGTCTGGAGCCGCAGCGGCTGGTTGTGGGTCTGCCCACCTACGGGCACTCCTTTACGTTAGTGGCTGCATAAATTTCAGAATGAATCCCTCTTTAATTATACTTTCTCACCTATGAAACAGGTTGGTTAATCCCCTAAATCACCGCATAGGAGCTCCTGCTTCGGGTTACGGAAAATGTGGCCAATTGGGCTTCACCACACTGTCCGAAACTTGCGAGTGTGCCTCCAAGTTCTTCAAACCAAACTTGTCCTACGATGCCGAGAGCTGTTCCCCATATTTAAGCGCTCTGCAGGAGTGGATATCCTACGAAAACCAAATGAGCATCGCCTGCAAGGCCAACTATGTAAAGTCCCTCAATCTGGGCGGCGTCATGGTCTTCTCCCTGAACACCGATGACCTCAGGAACTCATGCAGCTTTTTGCCAAACTTGAAATACAACGAGAAAGCAGTATTTCCTTTAACCCAGACCATTAAGGACGTCCTGCGGGAGTCGCTGTGATTACACTGTATTAAATGATATTTGATTTATTTGCAAGAGATTGTTGCTTCTGCTGTTGCGTCACAACCGCCTGGCAAACTGCTCGGAACAGAAACAGTTTTGTACATAGTCATAGACGATAACTTTATGTATGTATATATAAGTATAAATTAAATTATCACAATCGATCAATTCATAATATAACTAGAAGGTGTCATACGCAAATCATAGGTATATATCGCATGTACATGTGTGTGTGTGGCTGGTTTTTGGGAGGATGGGGATGTGGAAGTGGGTTCCCCACACCGGATCCGTATCGCTTGGCTAATCGATTAGTATAGAAAGCATAATACATTACAACTGGGAATGGGAGACGGAGATGGTCAACGTTACGGTGGCCACGTCCGCCGCAGGCATGGCAACTCGGGCAGGGAGACGATCCTGCGCTCCGGCAATCATGTTTGCTTCGACGGCCGTTGCAGATTGGGTGGCGGGGCGGCTAGCAGCTCGTCGATCTGCAGCTTGTAGGCCGCCTTCAGCTCGGTCAGATCCAGCTCCAGTTCCTCGGTGCGCTCCACCTTCTCGCCGTACATCTGAAGCAGGGCGTCGTAGCGGTGTTGCAGGTCCTCGTATCCCTTCTCCATCACCTCGTACACCTGCTGCTTCTCCTTCATCTACCATGGGATGCATAGAATGTAATATTATCTCTTGTAAATATGGGCTTTCCTGCTACCGTTTCAAGCTCGATGGTCAGATTGGATATCTCGCTGTCGAGAACGCTTCGCTCTGCCTGTAGGCGCGACACTTCCCACTGCAGGTGGGTCAGCTCCCCGTCGCGCTGCTTCAGCAGAGCCTGCAGATGTTCCAAGGTCGTGGTATTGGCCGCCAGGAAGCTCAGGTGTACGCCTTGGATGATGCCCGATTGCTGGCGGCCGGAGTTGGAAGCGCAATCGAGGTCGTCCTGAATTTGGAAGTGAATTTGAAGCTCAGGGTTTTTAATTTAAAAGATTAGGTGACATTACCGCTTGCCAGTCAATCATGCCGCCCAGGGCCTCCTCGTTGGAACCACTGTCGTCCACCAAGCTGAGAGGCGGTGAGGAGCGCAGTGGCGCCTGGGATTTCGGCAGCTGCATTTGCAGCTGTGGCTGCAACTCACTGCTGGCCTTCACCGCCTCCACGGTCAGCAGCGTGGGCTGT